TACATCAACTAGATATCAATAATGCTTTCTTGCATGGATATCTTGATGAAGAGGTCTATATGCAGCCACCCCCGGGATACACTACAGCACCAACAAACAAAGTCTACAGGCTGAGAAGAAGCTTATATGGATTAAAGCAGGCCTCAAGACAATGGAACACTGAGCTCAGTCTCAAACTCATAGAGCATGGGTTTGTTCAATCCAATCATGACCATTGTTTGTTCCTAAAGCATTCATCCGATCACAGTTTGTTTCTCCTTATTTATGTGGATGATGTCTTAATTACTAGAACTTATGAGTCTGACATAATATCAGTCAAGAAATATCTGCATTCTCAATTCACTGTCAAAGATATTGGAGTTGCAAAGTATTTTCAAGGACTTGAGATTGCTAGAGGAGAAAAGGGGACATATGTTAACCAGAGAAAGTATATTTTGGACATTATTAAATATGTTGGGCTCATTGGCGCGAGATCAGTTTCGGTACCAATTCCAAAAGGTACAAAACTTTCACAAATCTCCAGTCCTCCCTTTGCAGATCTAGAAAGATATAGAAGACTGATTGGAAGACTTTTGTACTTAAACCTGACCAGACCGGACATTACCTATGGCATACAACAGCTAAGTCAGTTTGTTCATAGTCCCTGCCAAATTCATTGGGATACTGCAATTCATTTGTTGCGATATCTGAAAGGATGTCCGTCACTAGGTCTCTACTTTCCAGTGCAACAGAATTTTACCTTAGCAGCATATTCAGATGCTGATTGGGCTTCTTGCAGTGATACTAGAAGATCTCTCACTGGCTTTTGTGTCTACCTTGGAGACACACTGATTTCGTGGAAAACCAAGAAACAGACCACCGTTTCTCGTTCCACAGCTGAAGCCGAATACAGAAGTTTGGCAACAACTGTATGTGAAGTTACATGGATCAATTATATACTGAAAGACTTTGCCATCACTATACCTTTGCCTATCCCATTATGGTGTGACAATAAATCCGCCCTACATATTTGTGCTAACCCAGTTTTCCATGAAAGAACTAAGCACTTGGAGATTGACTGCCATATTGTTATAAATAAATTTAAGGGAGGATTCGTGTTGCCTCAGCATATTTCTTCCTCTCAACAAGTTGCAGACATATTCACCAAAGCGTTGGCAGCCCCTCAGTTCCACCACTTAGTTTCCAAGCTGGGATTGGGTGATCTTCACCAATTGCCAGCTTGAGGGGGGATGTTGACTTTATTTTTCATTTTTCACGTGTTTTCTCTCTTCATTTCCTGTTAGTTTGTTAGGTGAGCTGTCACTTTTTTATTGGCTTTGTCTTCTATATAGTTGGGTCTGTAATTCATTTTACGTGTGAGATAGTATAGAGAGAAAATTTGCAGATCTAGTTTTACTACACATCACTTGGCTTCTTCTTCAGCTTTGATCAGCAGTGACAAAAAGCGCTACTCCGAGGAAAAGTATAAAAGTTCCGAGTTTTACAAGCTGTGCATTTTTATGCAACATGAAGGCAAACGAAACGCCTATAAAAAATGGCAATATCATACCAGCAATTGCCATAGCCAAGGCCCTTTTGCCCGTGCGCTGAATAACGGCAATGTCCATTTCTACTCCAACTAGAAAGAGGAAATAAAGAAGTCCTACATTTGCCATTGTCTCTAGTACCATTACACTTCTAAGAGGAAATATCGTGTTTGCGAATTTGGCACTACGTCCAAGCACCGATGGCCCCAGATTACACTACCCTGATACAATTTTTATGAATCAGTGAATTACAGATGAAATACATTTTTCATTTTAATTTTGTTCTGCTGATACCATAATTCCAATGGGATAAATGGTTATGCATTCATAATTTTCATCAAACATATCCATCACACGCAGGCCAAAAAATGATAAACAGAAACAAAAACACGAAAAAAGAATCAAAAGAAAATTTAGAATAAATAACCCACGAATTAATGATGTAAACTTACAAGGATCTCAGAAATGACACGAGGCTGGCGAAAGGGTTTGAGTAGAAAAACAAGAATTCTCGCCGTAACAACAACCAATGTCAATTGCAAAATGAAAAGTGGCAAAGAATAATCCAATGGATGATCACCCTTCCAGATTCCATTCGTCGTTACCATAGTCGGGGCGTAACATACTATAGTATCATCCGTTATGTTCTTGGCCCTAGCTATCTGCTCGTCCATTTTTCCCTTTCTTATTAATATTTTCCTACAAAATGTCCTAAAGGAATTGTGTTTTTTTC